GGGTCCAATTAGCATTTTTCTTTTAGGGTTTTTAATAGCTGTTTTCACTTTGTTATCTTCTTTTGAGTTTATGTCTTGGTCTTCCCTATCACTGAAATAGCTTTTTTATGGTCAAAGCCACTTTTTGTTATTTGATCATTTTTTCCATCATTTTTTGAACTTTATGTTAAAGTTGGACTCTGTTTACCTGGAAGTGGGAAAAGACTGTCCCGAGCTTCAGGCTTTTCATGCTGCTGTTTTCAAAGCTACTTCTGGGGGTCTGCAAGTTTTTGGTGCTTCCAAGGTGGTATGATCCTGGTATGGTCACTGCTCTCCTGCTCTGCACTCTGGTCTTTACCCAGGAAGAGCTCCTTGTCACCTGCAACCATAAGCACTAGCACTCCTTTTTGCTTTGAAACTGTGACCAGGGCCCCTACTCCCTTGTGATAGACCACCAGCACTCCTCTCCACCCCAGAACTGAGACCCAGAACCGTGTATGGGCAATAGAATTGCCAATCAGCACCACCGGTACCCAATGCCAGCAAAGAGTCCCCTGTAATCTCTTTTTGACCAACTGTCCTACCCCCTTCCTGTCTCTGGGCTGAGAGCTCCCAAAGCTGCTGCTGCCACCACCATTGTTACCTCCACTGCATGTATGGACTCTGGACAGACTTCTACTATGGTGTCACAGACTTCTCCTGCTGACTCTTAAGTTCTCTTAAGAAAACTTAAAAATGTCTCATGCCGACCTTTTGTTGGCTCTGCCACTCCAAAATTTAATCTGAGGTGCTATTTTAAAGTTGGAGGGGAATGTTAAGAGAGTTCAGCTTGGGTGTCTGCCCCTAATCCACCATCATGGCTCTGACTCAACTGACTATTTTTTTTGTTGGCTTTTTTTTGTTTTTTTTTTGCTAGGCAATGGGGTTAAGTGACTTGCCCAGGGTCACACAGCTAGTAAGTGTTATGTGTCTGAGACCGGATTTGAATTCAAGTCCTCCTGACTCCAAAGCCAGTGTTCTATCCACTGCACCACCTAACTGTCCCCTCAACTAGCTGATTATTGAGAGAGCAGATGAGTCCCTCAGGGAGAGAGCTGGCTACAATATTCTGGACTCTGTGGGTCCAGCAATTGTTCTTTAGTGTAGGATGTGGAAACGTTTTGGAGGGGCTGATTCCAATTCACCCCCAATGCCCAGTTCTTTTGAAGAGCCCCACCCATGTCTGAGGTTCATCTGACTTTGGTTTTCTTTTTAAACAAAGCCTACTTGTCCTATCATTGGTTGAGTCTGGAATTCAATTTCAATTGCTCAATTCCTTAGTGGGGAAATTTCAATTCCCAGCAGTGGTTCTTCAATGTTAGGCATGTAATTGCCACTGACATTTGTAGCCATTGTAAATACCTGCCAAGATATTCCCTATCTCTAATGGGACTCCTTCACAGTGAGATTACATCCTGTCTGATGAGCCCATTGTTACTTCATTAATTTCTTCCTGATATTTTGCCTACATTAAGGATAGCTATTTATCCTTAGCCCTCTGAAGTCAGACAGGGTCATCATCTCAGGGAAGAAGCTTGAGACAGGCTATGGCAGCTCAAGTGAAAATGAAAGGGAGTTGGTACTCCTTTTAGTGGAATGCAATTGATTCCTATGCTTCTTTGTCAGGCCAATTATTACATATAAAGATGAAGCAAAATGGAGGGGGGGGGGACAACAATAAGCAAGTCCCCTTCCTGGGTAAAGAAGACATCTTGTAAAGAGTGATAGAGTTAATTATTCAAAATGATTACTGGTCATCCTGAGTGATAAAAAGAACAAGATGGATTGAATTCCCGGTAAAGGCACACTTTTCTGATCCAGTCTTTGTCATGTGTAATTAACCACTTAAGATTTCACAAACATCAGCTTAGTTCCACAGCCAGGCAGACAGGCACCAGACGGGGCTGTAGGATTTATAAGCATCGTTAAGCTTTGCTGTAGAGACTGCTCAGCCACTCTAATGATTTGCATTGCCAGTACTTAATATTTTCAAGTAAATGCTGGGAATGGGGTTTTGGATGTAACTTAAAGAATTTGCTAATTCCTTTGTTGCTTGATTATTTTGTGTGTAATTGTTGCAAAAACATGATTGCTTTCCTTAAAGCTCCCAATTCATCCTTGGCAGTGAGGGGAAGCAGCATGGTACAGTGGAGAGAGAGAGCCAGATTTGGAATCAGAGGACCTGAGTTCAGTGTCTAACTCTGTCACTTAACTACCTGTGTGACCTTAGACAAATCACTTAACCTCTCTGGGCCTAGTTTCCTAATCTGTAAAATGAGGAGGTTGGGCTAGATGTACTTTTCAGTTCTAAATCTGATATTAAAGTCAGGCAGAAGCAGTGCTGGGTGTTGAAGGAGAGTTCCAGGTTCAAGGCACTCAGTCGGTGTAGGACGCTGGCCAAGTCATTTATTTAACTTCTCCAAACTTCAGTTTTCTTCCCTATAAAAATTAGGGCTAATATTATTAGCACTATCTGCCTCATCAGATTGTTGTGAAGAAAGTGGTTTATGAATCTTAAAGTACTATAGTAATGTGAGTTATCATTATTATTATTACTATTACTAATTTTCATGTTATATAATTCCATTTAGGGGAAAGAAAGAAGGGAGAGAGGAAGGGAGGAAAGGAGGGAGGGAGGCATGGAAGAAGGAAGGAAAGAAGGAAGAAAGGCGGGGGGAGAAAGAAAGGGAGGAAGGCAGGGAGGAA